GAGCAAGACAGCCCGCACCGAAGCATTGTATACCCGGCCTTTGACAGCCAGGCTAACGTCACGACGGCGCCAAAGGTGGCTCAAGTTGATGTATGCCACCCTAGCCTTCATGATATGGTTGGAAATCTCATCTGTCACCCCTCAGCCAGCACTCACACAACTACCCAGGTACACAAACTTATCAACAACTTCAAGCGGTTCACCCACAAGAGTGAGTGCAGGTACAGGCTCCTGCCAATCTTGTAACAGTACTTTGCACTTAGACGGCGCAAAGCACATACCATACTTACAGACACTGATCGCCAACTGATTAAGTGCGATTTGGGCAGCCTGTATAATACTATCGCACAGTAAGACGATATCGTCTGCATACTCGAGGTCGAAAAGTCTATCTCCAGGTAGCAGATCTACAGCACCTTCACGCACATTCCTCAGAGCTGACTCCAGAATGTCATCGATGGCAAAGTTAAAGAGAAATGGAGAGATTGGGCAACCCTGTCTAACCCCACGGAAATCATAATAATAATAATTATTATTATTAATATTACTTACCATATGTTCATTATCATTCACAAAAACGAAGAAATATCAAATAAATGCCAAAATTCTAAATTCATCAGAAAGTGTTTAAACTTTTGAGTCATAACACCACCAACAACAAGCCAACATCAAAGACCACAAGAAAATTTATTCTACCATATAAATACAAAAAAATATTTCTGAAATAACAGCTAGAATATTAAAACGTCTGAAACATACAAAGTACACAAGCCAGCACAATTAATTCATTCAATATTGTGCAAACCAAAAGATCCAATAGGAAAAGAAGAAAAGTTAATACCATTTACAAAATACATTGAATGAACTGTAATCAACATTAAATCGGTCAAGGTGGATGTCTCCTTCGAATCTGAATCCAAGACCAGGAATTGGCCATAAAAAGGCATGATATATATATGTATAAATATATTCTGTTGTACCACCGCATGTGTGCGTCAGTGGCATGGCGGTTATGACTGTCACCGATCATGCACATGGTTCGGGATTCGATCCCCTGCCGACGCACATCTGATATCAGTTGGTCGGCCTGCAAAATTTGTGCTACCGTTATCACATGCTGAAAGTTCCATACCTGTAGCAAAATGGAATCAAGCCGTAATCAAACATGAAATAAATAAAATAAAACCAATACTTGAAAATTATTCTGATGCCCAACAGCGAGTGGCCCTATTCAGGCAGTTAACCTGTGGTTCTAGTGGGAAGCCGTTACCAGTAGGGTACAGCAGGTTGAAGATAAGGCAGTGACTCATCGAAGAAGACATTGCGAAATGGTCGCACTATGTCGTTAATTGACAGAAGTTAGAATTCATGGACTGACTTGCCATTGGATTGAGTCCCAGTGGCTTAATGGTATACGAGGTCGCTAGGCTTGTATCCAGATCCTGGGTTCGAAACCTGGCGGTGGGTGCATACTGCTGAAGAGTCCCAAGCTAGACTGATGAAACAGCTGTTCAGCACTTCCCGACAGGTTTTCCAGTGGTTTTCTAACCGTTGTCAGCTCATGATAAAATCCTCCATGCAATCAAACAAAAATCCCTACAAAACCAATACTTGAAAATTAAAGTATTTATGGACACTAATTTGATTGGTATAATGTAGAAATTTTAGATAGAGGAAACACCAAAAATGCATTCGAGGAATTCTTAGAAGCCTGGTACTCAAGTGAATCAGCCGACGATTTAGCAAAACACACCAGCATAGACCAAATATACCAGCTAATGAAAAATGAACCACATGACAAAAAATTTCAAATTCCGCGTCAATAGAAACATGATCAACAGATATGTAATTTAAAAACCATTTAGGACAGTGGTCGCCAAGACATACAATTACATCATTCATGGAGAATTTAAATAAGTTGATTTTATATTAAAGCCTGCTCTGAAGGAAGATGTTGTCTATAGGGGAGCCGATGGAGGCTTCGCTATTAAATCAGCCACTCAGCACAGAGAAACACAACGAATCCAAAAAGTATTATTTAGAATAATTATGCTAAAAAAAATTAACAATAATATTAAACATTATCGAAAAGTTATTCTGATAACGTGAAGCAAAGTAGTCACTATTCCATCTAGATCAAACTCGTCACATAAGATTAGAAAAGTATCCAATAAATGCGACATCAGTGTTCTTATCAAAACATCAGTTACAATAGAAAGTGATCCTCATCATGTTAAATACCGAATTCCAAAACACCCACCGTCTAAAAAGATGTATCAAGGAAAGTGATTCCAATGTAATGCGATATAGAATGTATATCAACTGCTATACTGGCTGATTGACTGAATGACTCATTGATTGGTCAACGGCGTAATCCACTCTGTGAACTGGAGCGATGATGACGTGAATTTGACTGGAGTGTTTCACGGGATGTGAGATGTGGATTTGTTAGTGTTGTATTTTCTGTCACTGATGCATCTGGTGATTGATGTGAGTGGCGCGTGAATCGGTGTTGTGTTGCGTGTGGGTGTGTTTGTGGTGATCGGAGTAGTTATGAGGTGTAGGAGAGACGTGGGTGGATTGACCAGCGATGGAGTATTGGGTAAGTGTGTGTGGGCGTGTTTGCATGCGTGTTGGTAGGCACAAATAGGAGTGATTCGGAGGTAGTGTAGCACAGGGATATTTCTTGATGTCTTGTGTGTCGAGTTGAGTTGAGATGAGTTGTGTTCTGTTGTGTTGTGTTTCGTTGAGTTGAGTTGTCGTGTGGTGGTGCATTGTGGTTGTGTTCAGGCTAGTTGTTTTCGTTCGTTTACTCGGTTTGTCTGTGGATTGGTGGCGATCGTGGTCAGTTCGAAAGTGAGGTTTGTGATTGGTTGGGTGTGTGTGTGTGCTGGTGTTTGTGCGTGCGTTTGTGTCTGCTAGTGTGGTAGTCGGTGTGACGGAGAATTGTGTTTGTGTGTGTGTATGTGTGTGTATGGAGAGAGAGAAGAGAAATTCGACTGTCGAAGGATATTTGTGCACATGAAAATGTTAACCACCACTCGTTAACACTGTTGCCAACCTGACCTACTCTAAATTCTACTCAACTGCATTACGTCATCCAATTCACTTAATCAATTCTATTTTATTTTCTATCTTAACGTTTGTCTCCACGCCAAATAATACTTACATTACATAATTATCTAAACTTTATAAATCTAGTGTACACACACGCAAACAAAATTGTATATATGTATATATATATATATATATATATGCGATTGTACAGCTCAGTGAATGAATTCGCCAAAAAGTGTCTCTTCGCTGAACTCTTTCTTCTCTTTCACATGAAATTTTGTTTGAATTGAGAGAGACGAGGTGTATGAATTGAGATGAGAATTGTTTGTTTGTGTTTGAGGGTGTGAAGATGGTGTGGAGCGTTGGAGTGTCCGAGAGCGAGTATCGGTCTGTGTTGTGCATGTGTGTTTGGGATGCGTGTGTAGCTGGAGTGTTTGGTGGTAGGTGTGAGTTTGTTGTGAATGCTTGTAGTGTGGTGTGTATCAGTCAGTGATGGGAGAGTATGAGTCGGTGAGTGTGATTGTGAGTGTGTTGTGAATTGAATAGTATTGAGTTGAATTGAAGTGAGGTGAAGTGATTAGTAGTAGTGTTGTGTTGTGGGTGTTGTTGGTTGGTCGTGCGTTCGTGCCTCCGTGGCGCAATGGTTCGAGCTCACCCGGGGGCGCTAGGGATTTTGACGCTACTCATCCTCAAACTCACAACTCCATCAACATCACGCACTAAATTCACTCGAACCACACGCCTCCATCTACTACCCTACACGACGCGAAAACTCCACAACGAAACTCACACTTTTGTCACATCAAACACTCCACTAGACATCATCACTCACCCGGACACATTCACATCCATACACACAATACGCTGTCTCTCCTCAATCTCTTCAACACTGAATGACACTCACACCCCACCACCGCCTGTGTGTGTCTCCTCGCCTCCTCATCCTCATCACAGAACAAGTAGATACGATCTACACCAACCCTGTCCCACACACCACACTCTGTCGATATGCAAGATCGACTGAATTACAGTTCATTAAAGGTGCTTAAACTTTAATAATAATAATAATAAAGATATAGTGGCAAATGGAATATCAAATAAAATTAGGAAAATTCCGCAAAAATTCAATATCATTCAAAACATATATATGGTCAAGGTAGTGATAATATCTGAACTAACTTCTTTTGGATGCACAAATTAGGCTTCTAAATATAAATTTCAACAGCCAGCCTCAGAAATATTTAGTAGTCGAACTGTTAAGGCAAAACTGAGATTCATAAGTATGCGTTTAATGACCCTGAAAGCATGGTTACCGTCAATCTTGTGTTCTGTATCCACAAGATGAAGTAGAATAGCGCCACGAATAGATTTTGTTTGTCCTTTACTTAACCAATCATGCAGGATGATGTTCGGAAATTCAACGAGAAACACGCCTAAATGTACGGCCTATGCAACTGACTGGCTCACTCCACAGGAACAGTTAAATTGATAGATACACATGGAAGAGGCCAAATTAGGCAGGCAGTTTGTCTTTTACTCCAGAACGCAAAATAATTGTGGGTGGTTTTGAAGACACAACGTAATTCAACAGCAGGGAAGGCTCTTTTTACCGCATTTCTGAGGCGCTGTGTTAGTATCTCGCTGATGTTGTCCCCAAGGAACTGTATTTGTAAGAATAAGGCCTTTTTACAAATCGATATTATTTTAAAAAAACACTAATAATGTTATTGACTACTAATCTAGAATATTTTATGTATATTAACATACATAATTATAATAATATAATAATATATAATATAATATTAACGTATATAATTGTAGAGCCGAAATAGGAAATTGTCGAAATCTATTTGTCCACATATTTCCTTTGAAAAGTAAAAGCTGAACTCATTAAGCGCTTTCGACTTTCATGGTGATTCTTTCTCTTCCTTCTATCCTTCAAGTACCCTACCAAATTTGGATACACCCTATCCAATCTTAGCTATTATTGGTCCAGCGGGTATAAACAAACGTCAGTTGAGACAACAGTTAGTCACGAAGTTGGAGAATTATTTCGCTTCACTTGTCTGCCACACGAATCGTTCACCTCGGCTGAAAGAAGGCAGTCAACTGTTAATATCACCAAAACCACCTATGGATAACCTTGCGAGTTCATCACCTCAAATCAATACTGATACTAATATGCCCCAAAAAAGAGAATGGATGAAATCATCTCTGGATTATGACGCCGGTTATCCTAAAGAATATGATGGCATAGATTATTATTTTGTGAATACAGAAAATTTTTATAAAAAACAAACCAGTGGAGGATTTATTCAGACAGCGAAAATTATGGGTAGGAACTGTATTTTGAACCAATTCCTTTTTCAGTAATATTTAATTTACAGAATTTCATCATGAGCTGACATTAGTTAGAGAACCATTGGAAAACCTGGGAGTACTGGACAGCTGTTTCGTCCTAGTTCAGGACTCTTCAGCCCTACGCACCCATCCCGCCATGGTTCGAACCCAGGACCTACTGGTTAAAAGGCGACCTCGTATACCATTAAGCCACTGGGACCCGATCCAATGGCCCATGAATTCTAACTTCTGTCAATTCATGACATAGCGCGACCCCTAGCGAATGTCTTCGGCGAGTATTTGTCGCGCTATGTCGTGAATTGACAGAAGTTAGAATTCATGGGCCATTGGATAGGGTCTCAGTGGCTTAATGGTCTACGGGCTCGCCTTGTAACCAGAAGGTCCAGGGTTTGAATCCCGGTGGGTGCGTATTGATGATGAGTTCCAAATTAGGACGAAACAGCTGTCCAGTACTCCTTGGTGGCTTTACAATGGTTCTCTAACCGTTATCAGCTCATGATGAAATTCTGTAAACCAATCAAATCCTTACAGCCTAACACTTGAATAATATTTAGCTGTTTTTTTCTGAAGAGAGAAAGAACAAACATGTTTGCAGGATAATACGAGTTCGTTTTATTTCGTGGATACTCATCAACTGCATACATCCCAAACAAAATTAAATTGTAATTTTCAAAAAAAGAAGTTTTGAAACATACTTTTTCATATACAATTGGTGGATGGTGGCTAGCAGTCGAATCCAGGATGCGCATTTCGTCCTATTTGGGACTCGTCATCTGGATGAACCTGCATTTCTCAGTGAGTGATGATGTTCCCACCGAGGCTCGAACCCAGTACCCATAGTTTCAAACGCCAAAGCGTTACCCACTAGACCACTTGGGCCACGAGAGCCACCTCTTTTGCAACGGGTCATATTAATTATTGAATTGAATTCTTGATTTTCCCGTCGATTGATTGGACCGAAGTGCTCGGTCTCAGGTTGACTTGTCGGCTTCTTGTGCAGATGCTTCGACGATGTCTGGGTATTTAATTAGTATACAATTGGTATACAATCATTCGACGGGAAACTCAAAAATTCAATTCAATAATTAATATGACCCGTTGCAAAAGAGGTGGCTCTCGTGGCCCAAGTGGCCTAGTGGATAACGCTTTGGCGTTTGAAACTATGGGTACTGGGTTCGAGCCTCAGTGGGAACATCATCACTCACTGAGAAATGCAGGTACATCCAGCTGACGAGTCCTAAATAGGACGAAATGCGCTTTATCCTGGATTCCACTGCTAGCCACCATCCACCAATTGTATACTAATTAAATGCCCGGACATCGTCGAAGCATCTGCACAAGAAGCCGACATGTCAACCTGAGACCGAGCACTTCGGTCCAATCAATCGACGGGAAAATCAAAAATTCAATTCAATAATACTTTTTCATAATTACTTGGAGTTATAGATAAAAGGTATAAGAAACATAATTCCTTTTGCCTTTTTGCCAGTATGCATGTGTGTTTGTCTTGTTACGAAACATTCTATTCACTTTTGACCTTCAAGTTTCTAAATCTACTTAATTGTCTGTTTAAGTTTTTAAAAAATGTGACTTCACTATTCACCGCCACCCTCTTAAACTCTCCACCACAAAATGTGTAAATTCACTCTGTTCTCTAACCCTGACCCTATAATATGCCTCTAACCAATCTGTGTTTTCCAATAGAAATCTGAACTCTAACCCCTCCCCACCGCTATTATCTAATCCCACCACATATAATTAGTTGTTTTTTGACATTGAATAATCTTGTCTACCTACATCAAATTCTGGAATTGTGTTCCTTATACCTCCAAGTAATTATGAAAAAGTATGTTCCAAAACTTCTGTTTTTGAAACTTATAATTTGATTTTGTTTAGGATGTATGCAGTTGATGAGTATCCACGAAATAAAACGAACTCGTATTATCCTGCAAACATGTTTGTTCTTTCTCTCTTCAAACTAATAAAGGAAACCGGTTGTATGGAATAATTGTGTTTTTTTATTCGTTTATGCTCCCAGTGGAACATATGGCGCTTTCAAGGTAGAGGCTTGAAGTTTCGGTAGCAGCGGTGGTATTTATTTTTACAGGATAGGGTTGCTAGCCTCATGCCACCCAACATTTCCCCTTTACCAGTCTTAATACTGGCTTAGTGAGGTAAAGGGGTACGTCAGTTGGGGATCGAACCCCGGACCACATGTGTCGTTGGCGAGCATTTTACCGCTGTGCCACTAAGGCACAATATTTAATTATAGTGTGCTTTTATTGTTATTGTGGACTACTATTTTTCACTGTGTGTCACTGAAAACGCTTCGAACAAGCCTCAGACTTTCATCAATAGCTAACTACTACCTTCGTTCAACATTAATAAACTAATGGCCAGAAAGGATAAACTACAAGAAATTCTGGAAATGAACCAGTCGGTAACCTGCGTTTTTATTCCTATGCATTCCAAGTAGAATACATCAGGGCTTCAAAATTGAGCTTTGAAGTTTAGTTTTCATGGGGTGAGGTTGCTAGTCTCACACCCAACCTTTCCTCTTTATTAATGAGCTTACCACCAACTAGATAGGGTTTAGGAAGGCGTCGACAGGGAACTGGACTCAATTCATCTGTGTGGGTGGCGAATATTCTACTAGTGAAACACTGTCGTACTTGGCTCAGGATTTAGGGTGATGGTGCAAAGAACCTATTCCCCAACAAATATGCGGTGAAAAAAATGAAGCTAAAACAGCCACATACTAGTGACAATGATTTAATCTTCTTTCAGTTAATAATTGGATGGTCTATAAGACTAAGTGAAGACCAATCACACGGGTGTTATTGAGTCAGAGTTGCTTCCTTAATTTGTAAAGTTAATGTCATCAACACTATCCAATGAATCATTAGTAAGTTGAGATGGGTGCAACAATAATCAATAATGAAAGCCATAAGTTTTCAAGTGTTAATTCGTAGGAATTTCTTCAGAAATTTCATACATTTATTCCCCTTAATGAATTTGAATAAAGCAAGAACAACAGTGCGGTTTGTGCAGAATAAGAAGATGGTACCATCATTGCTTATTTCATTGGCTTCTCATCAGCCCGACTGCTTGCGGGCGAAAGTCATTATTAAGTAGTATATCTACAGAAACAATTTTAACATACTTGCACACGAAGTTCATTTTTAAACAAAAATCAATCAGTCACTATACGCATACAGTAATCATTAAACACTATTCCGAACAATAATGGTCCTACACAATGGAGACTTTTAGCATTTCGTATTCGGAAGAAAGAAAGGTGAAAATAGCCAGTTACCAGAGTAAGGAAAGTCTGATAACTGCTACTTTCTGAATGCATAAATCAAGTTTTAGGCGCTTGATGGAGATCGCTTCGCCAAACTTGAGGAGAATTTAGCTTTTCTGCATACTGACAATTTTGAATGATCTTGTGACGTTCACCTCATGACCCGTGTCAAGGAGATGCCTGATGATGGCACTGTTTAAAGCATTTGTTCCCTTTAGATATAAGCGTTTTTTGGTACCTGTTCAGAAAATTGTAGATATGTCCTTCTTTCTGTCCTTCTAGTGTAACTGCTCCCGTAGATACATATAAATTTGTATATACAGTTGGAGTTAACATGAGAAGGATGGAAATCTATCGATTTTTGATTGCACCAAAGAGCAAGTTGTTTGAGTGATGGGAATCAACTTAGCTAGCTGCAGGATAGGCTCTGGCTAGTGACATCCTCAATCTTCTGTTAACAATTGCTGTGATATTTTTACCTTTATAATCAAATTGAATGTAGACTGGCTTTTTGTCTATTGTAATTTGTCATACATTTGTGACTTCAGATCTTCCATACTTGTTGATCAATCTTTGAGGATACCCATTGCTCTTCAACATCCTTCTAAGAAACTCAAATTCGTCCTCTAATTTTTCTATAGAGCATATTCTCCTCACTCTATAGTACTTGTTGATGAATCTTTGAGGATACCCATTGCTCTTCAACATCCTTCTAAGAAACTCAAATTCGTCCTCTAATTTTTCTATAGAGCATATTCTCCTCACTCTATAGTACAGAGTCTTGACTAGTCCGCGTTTGAAGTTATTTGAACGAAAGCTATTAGAATGTAAGTATTATTCTTTCCATATAGGCTTCCGATAAATTGACTTCTGAAGACTACCGTCTTCTAGGCGTTCCATGTCGATGTCGAGGAAGTGAAAATTCCCGTCACTTTCATGTTCCATAGTAAACTCAATATTGATGTGTACATCATTGAATAATCTGAGTACGTGTGAAGGATGACTTTCATTGTTGCACACTATAAATTTGTCATCAACATATCGACAATAGGAAGTTGTTTTGTCGATCGCATGCTTCAACTTTGTTCTTTCAACGTTGGACATGAATATATCTGTTAAACCTCTGTGCAAGTATGTTAAAATTATTTTGTAGATTTATATTTAATAATGTCTTTGGCCTGTAAGCAGCTGACGAGAAGGCAACGAAATAAACAATGATGGTACTATTTTATTCTGCTAAAACTGTAGTTATTGCTTTGTTCAAACTCGTAGGGATTTGACTGATCTCAAACTAGGTCATGAACTGATTTCATTTAGAGAACCACTGAGAACCAGGGACTTCTGAGCAGTTGTTTCTTATTATTTTGAGGCTATCCAGGAGTACGCATATATGAACTTAATAGTAGATCCAATAAAGGACCTTCAGGCTACTCGGTGAGACTATTGAGTACACAGTCAATCCAGCAGCCAGTGAATTCTAACTTCCAACAGTTTGGAAAAGAGCTAGTGGTGGTCGAACCAAAACATTGCACCAGTCAGTGAAATCCTCAAGAGTTTGTTTAAGCCAGTCACATAGTGAGGGGTAGAGTTCCTGGTTGTGATCAATGGTAAAAAACAATGGCTGAAAACAATTGGTCATATGGCTTAAAATCATCGTTCTCAGTGGGTGG